TTGATCTGAGCACCTATTATTGTATGTATTTGCCGCTTTTTATCCTGATTATACAGCCCTTCTGCTTGGGATTGGTGAGAGAAAAGAGCGAACCAGATACCATAACATCACTCAAGCATAGTAAAGACCAATAATTTGAGCAAGCAGAGAAAATACTGTGCTATCCTATGCCTGAGCCAGTGGCTCAAAGCCATGGCACTTAAAGTGAGTTAGGCCACTCTCACGCATAATGCCTGCAAGTACTTACAAGGTCACAGTCCCACTACCAGGTCACATGACTCTACGCCCTGGTGCCTCATGCTAGGTGTCAAGCTTGCAAGTACTTCTTCTCCCCAACAGGTCAACTTATCAACTCTTTCACATACCTCAACAGGCAACGTGACTCACATCATCTGACACACACACACGTGAATTGGCAGACGGCATGTGTGTTATTTATGAAAGTGATCCATTTCAATCCGCCTCTCACCCAACTCAATCCGCACGTCGCTACCCTTATTCCACCCTTCAAAACCCCCACTACTTGGCCACATGACTCCACGCTCTGGCGCCTCAAAGGTGTCACCCCTGCAAGTTCTCTGATGATCACAGTTCCGTGAAGCCACATGGCTCCATGCCCTGGTGCCCCTTGATCGTTACGCTTGCATGTATTTCGAAGGACACAGTCCCTTTTTAGGCCATCTATATTATTGCCCTTGCGCCCTGTAAGCGTTGAAAAGGTCACAGTACTACTGCCAGGCCATACAACTCCACGCTCTAGTGCCTCTCACGGGTCACACTTGCAATTTTTTCAAAGGTTATAGTCCAAGTGCTAGGCCACATGGCGACATGCATAGGTGCCTCTCATGGGTCATGTATACAAGTAATTTGAAGGGGCTTAGTGCAATGAGCAGTAGAAATCTGAAAAGTTAAACCATACGATTTTATGTCTGTTAAATGAGGATATGCACAGCACAGAATGCAACTTCTGCTTTCATTCTTACATGCAAAATTTTCTGTTATTGCATTCCAGTCTTTTCTGCTTCCCACCACCATTTGCGGCATCCAATAGGACTGGCATGGTCGCGGTGGATTTGCAGCATCGTCGCATACGCATCCGTAGGTAAGATGATAGCTGTACGTAGGTTCAGTTTCTGATGTTGTCAGCACTTATGCTCGTTCGTCAATTTCGGGAAAACTTTTCGCAGTCCGAGTAAGGCTGACTTTCTACTCGCCAGGACTAAATATGACTTGTTACTCCGTAACTCGACTGCTGATGATGTCACTATCAAACCTAAGAAGGGTTGATCGTCCCAGGGGGCGAGTCCTACTTCGAGTGTTGTGGCGATCGGTCACAAGTTCCCACTGGGCAGCTCGCATATTGAATTATTGCCCTTGCATTATTGCCAAAAGCAGGGAAAATCTCCGCTTTTGGTTGCAGATTGATTCTGAAACCTCGATCCATAAGATGTTCCTCTTTTTAACGCATCACAAAATTTATTTCCAGCCCGGGCAGATCGAGAATCACATTATTGTCCTTGAATATTGATCGAAATTGCATTGTTCACATTCCTCGGCAGCAGCCCAGCCCAGAGTCACTTTCTCTGGATAGTCTCCGTGTAAGATTTTTCTCGACATTCCTTACTACGACCTGCAACATCGCGTACAGCAGCAGCCGTTGTTCGCCCGTTATTGCTAACGGGGCTTCGTCAATTTCGCGCGCACTGTTTCACCAATCCTTGCCCGGCCGTGTCGGCCTACGCTTTGGGACTAGCCCGAACCTCGATGCCAGCCTAGCACTAGCTAGCTCGCACGCACCGCGTTACCGTTTGCATGTTTCGCGTATAAATGTTCGCTCATGCCTTCGCTCACATTTTGTACTCATTTGACACCTTAGTGCAATCCTCGCTACCTCGATCCATTGCACCCGTAACACTTGGTATCCGAGCTACTTTCCTCTCGGACCTCGCATCTCCGCGCCCCAGAAAATCAACTTTTGATTTTTCACTCGAAGGGACTCACGCACCTTAGCCCCTAGGAGCCGCTGTCCTCGCGTTCTCTCGTAAACGCGTGCAGCCACGACTGCGCCTAGACTAAGCGGAGCCGACGCCCTTCACCATGGCTGAACACATCGACGTCACCACCCTCACACAAGAGCGTTTGAATGAACTGCGGCAGCAGCTGCGCGAAAGTTCCAAAGAAATCGTGGCGCTGGCGGCAGAACGTGCGTCCCTGCAAAATGACGTTGCACGAGCACAATCACAAGTTCAAGGCACACCGGGACAACCCGCACAACAGGCATCGCAGCACGGAAGTGTGGGGCGACCTGCGAGCGCGGCTAGTGATGGCATCGTCCGCAACGACGGAGACGACGACCACGGCGCGACACACCCCGAAGCGACGAATGCGGCCAGGAGTCAACCTCGCGTCACGATTTCTGTGCCGGCTAGCGAATCTACACTTCAGTCGCCGATGCCGCTGAAGCCGCAGCGTCCGCCATGCTTTGACCCGAGTCAATAGG